TGCACCCTTATCAAGTGGGATAGTTAGCTATTGTCAGGAGATTATTTTAAAATCCTATAAATATGGAAGTTGTATTGATCGAGAGCTTCTTCTCAGAAGGGGCTCCTTGTCTGTGCCCTGCTTATTTTGGGGGTAAGAAACTTTTATGGATCCATGTAATTGCTGTCCTTTAATTATCTATTTAATTATCTGGGAAAGATTGAAGGTCAAAGAAGACGGGGACAGCAAAGGATGAGATGGTTAGACAGTGTCATAGATGCAACGAACATGAAGTTGAGCAAACTTCAGAGGACGGCGGAAGACCGGAAGGCCTGGTGTGATCTGGTCCATGGGGTCGCGAAGAGTTGGACTCGACTGTGCGACTGAACAATAACAATTATCTATGTAACAATGATGAATGGATGGTGTGATGCTTTGTTGATTTAGTCTATGTTAAGAATGCAATAGTTGTGCTTGAATTTTTAAAAAGCTTATAATGGAAGCAAAGACACTATAATAGTATGTACTTGTGTACTATACCCAGAACAAACCTATAGCATTACTGAGATGTACCTTTGGCTAGGAGTTAAATAATCTGGTATAGGAAAGCAAACTAGGTGCCTAGAGTTTTTTAAGTGCACTCCTATATCTGAATTGGTCCTGACCAGAGTAATCCAGAACACTTTGCTTCAAAAGTGAATTGTTTTGTGTCATGCTTAGTTATGGTTGAAAGTCAGGGCCTATCTACAGCTTATGTTTTCCCATGTGTTCACCCCAGGTCTGCCCTGAGAACTTTCAATTGAACATCAGTTTAGAGTTCCACACTGGAAACTAGGCTTGCCAGTCCCCAGGTGGGGGCGGGGGAATCCCCCACTTTTGCAGGCTCTGGCCCACTGCTGGCCAGCTGGCTGGTGGGGAAAACCCCAAATAGACATCTTTGCATGAAATCAGCTTCCAGAAATGACATCATCGCACCATGACATGGGGGGGGTGATGCTCTACTTTTTCGGCAAAACTCTATGGGTTGTAGCCATTTTTACCATAGAGTTTTGCCCAAAAAGTAGAGTGTCGCCCCAGTGTTGCCGATGCAATGGTGTCAATTCCAGAAGTGACATCATCATGTCACCAATGTCCCCGTCCATCCCCGAATCACCCACAAATTCCCCCACTGCCAGGAGGCAGGCAACTGGCAACCACCCTACTGGAAACTAATGTCCCAAGCATGCAGTGGCCCAGTTCTGATCAGGATCACAATGCTTAGTGCTTAAAAGGGGTTTAAGAGATGTCGAACTGATTTGTTACAAGGGCTGGATCGAACATAAATGTAACTTTGTTGGGCTGGGCCATCTATACCATAAAATGTAAAACAAAACTGGCAACCACCCTACTGGAAACTAATGTCCCAAGCATGCAGTGGCTCAGTTCTGATCAGGATCACAATGCTTAGTGCTTAAAAGGGGTTTAAGAGATGTCGAACTGATTTTTTACAAGGGCTGGATCGAACATAAATGTAACTTTGTTGGGCTGGGCCATCTATACCATAAAATGTAAAACAAAGTATTGCAGATATAAACTTTATAAAGGTGATTTCAGATGCCAAATGGCAATAGCAGGTGAATGACAACAGCAGGCTTGATTGGATTAGGTGTGATATGCAGAGGTGTAGTAGGTGTGGAGATACCAGCATTGGTGATGAGACAGGAAACGTAGGTCTCAATTTGGTCCAGGAGGATTCAGTCTAGTAGGATGCAAAGAATAAATGGGCATAATTTCTTTATTTTATTTATTTGTTATATTTATACCCCGCCCATCCCGCAAGCAGGCTCAGGGCGGTTAACAGAGCGGTACAATGTACCTAATTGGGAAACATAAAAACGTAAAACTCTATAAAATCACATACGCAACTCATTAAGTTAACTATCTCTCCTTATATATAATTGAATAGTGGGTGCCAAAGTTCTAATTCTAAAATGCACTCCCTTAGTGTATGGCTGATGGCACTGCTCCTCAGCATATATTGCCACCAATCAGAAGGCAAAGCCCGGGTCCCGCCCACACCACAACTGCTGCCACAACCTGGTCTTTTGCATATGGAAGCTGATTGGACTTCACTCCATTCCACACCTCAAACTCCCCCCCCCCCGCAAGGCAGTTGGAATTTTC